TTGAAATATTACTACAAAAATATAGTTTTTAAATCTTTAAATCATCTTTAAATCGCCCATGTAACAATATCTTGGTTTAACAATTCAACTGTATGAAATGTAATAACTATATACCTGGTAAAAACCATTTGTGTCCTGGTTTCGTTCCTCGGACAATTTTCCATTCCTTTTTGCTGCGATTGACAAGTACACACCGATGGCTGCAAGGATAACTGCTAACACCAAAGTCACGATTAGGCAGACCTTTTCCAAGGCACCTTTTAATTTGTACTCCGTTACACCACTTGATGTCTCTCTATTTGTCCCGTTAGGTATACACTCCATATCAATCCTGTTGTCCATTTGTAACAAAACAATCACAAATATATTTAAATACCCTCTGTTACGAACCACGTTTAAATGATAAATGACACACCTTCGCCTACTAGTCCTAAATATACTCTTGTCTATTTTAACCCCAAAAAACCCAACAAATGATTTCATGCTATCTATGTTTAACTTGTTTCAATATACTTGTATTTACCTGGACGAAAATGAGTCTATTTCAATACGTACACGGGTGGGGTATGTTGTTCTAAAAATCATTTATAATTTGTTAGAACACCATGGTGGCGTTTTTGATCCCCACCTAGGACCAAATGTCTTCTCATGTAAAATTTGTTGTTCATGCTTGAAACTCTTATGTTTCAAGTTCGTCATTTATATATTAATAAACGGTCCAACTAGCTTGCCCTCACGACGGTCATGTATAATTGTATTTACCTGGACGAAAATGAGTCTATTTCAATACGTACAAATATAATTCACCTGGTCAACTATAAACATGCTGTTAGGAACTCAGGAAAAGGTAAAGGCAAGGAAATAAAAATGTTTGAATTAATATTTTATAGACATAAATATATGTATACCGTATGTATGAAGACATGAAGAGAACTAGTGGTTTATAAAACAGAAACAATAACTACATTTTATCACTATTCTTCATTATGTTGTTTCAACATAAACAAACCTTTATAAGTTTTTTTTTCATCTGTGAGTTTGAATGTCATTATACTGGGTTATCAAAGCATTGATTATAAAAATAAAATAAAATTGTTATCGATATAAAACCAATTCATTATTGTTCACTCTAGATGTGATTAAATGATTATTTATTTTGCATCAATCATTTCCTTTGTTTATTTTTCACTACTATTTGTATGAAGTTATAAGATATTTGACCTTTGAACTGTATACAACTATCCATTTGATATGGCTAATGCACAGGTAAGAGTACATTTTCTGGGAAATGGCAGAGGTGTCCACTATGTAGTCTAAGACGGATTCAACTATTCACTTAAGACTAGATGTAATGACAGATATTATTGGAAATGTGTAGATCGCCAGTGTCCAGCAACAGTGACCACACTGAACAACGTCCCTGTGACGTTCACAAACAATTACCATCCAGGAGATACCGTATGTGTGGCTGTTTTTTGTTTTCCTCAACAACGTCAGGAAGCTGTGTCGTGAGGAAACTGAATCAATTCCTTCTGCGTTTGATGAGGAGCTTGAGAATATGTATGACAGAGATTTTGATGATGATGTTGAGTCGATGACACAGAAAATCCAAACCTTCAACATTTGTAAAACCTTTATCTGAATCCAATCCGTCAGTCGAAACACGTACTTTAATATAGCTAAATGCATCAATGACGTCATCAAAACCAACCCGTCGTTCAAAATAAACAAAAACGATGAAAAGAAAAGACGACGAGGTCACGCACTCAATGATGATTATACGTCACTGGAGGGCCTTCGGTTGGAGATTGCTAAGGCCGCAAGAATGACAAGTTGACCACGGGACACCGACAGCAGGGGTGGGACAACAACAGCAGGGGTCATGTGATGACAAGGTGACCACGGGACACCGACAGCAGGGGTGGGACACCAGCAGGGGTCATATAATGACAAGGTGACCACGGGACACCGACAGCAGGGATGGAACACCAACAGGGGTCATGAAATGACAAGGTGACCACGGGACACCGACAGCAGGGATGGGACACCGACAGCAGGGGTGATGTGATGAAAAGATGACAACGGGACACCGACAGCAGGGGTCATGTGGTGACAAGTTGACCACAGGACACCAACGGCAGGGATGGGACACCGACAGCAGGGGTCATGTGATGACAAGTTGACCACAGGACACCAACAGCAGGGATGGGACACCGACAGCAGGGATGTCATGTGATGACAAGTGCCAGGGAACACCGACAGCAGGGATGGGACACCAACAACAGGGGTCATGTAATGACAAGGTGACCACGGGACACCGACAGCAGAGATGGCACATCAACGGCAGGGGTCATGTGATGACCAGGTGACCACGGGACACCGACAGCAGGGATGGGACACCAACAACAGGGGTCATGTGATCACAAGGTGACCACGGGACACCGACAGCAGGGATTGGACACCAGCAGGGGTCATGTAATGACAAGGTGACCACGGGACACCGACAGCAGGGATGGGACACCAACAACAGGGGTCATGTGATCACAAGGTGACCACGGGACACCGACAGCAGGGATTGGACACCAGCAGGGGTCATGTAATGACAAGGTGACCACGGGACACCGACAGCAGGGATTGGACACCAGCAGGGGTCATATAATGACAAGTTGACCACGGGACACCGACAGCAGGGATGGGACACCAACAGCAGGGGTCATGTGATGACAAGGTGACCACAGGACACCGACAGCAGGGATTGGACACCAGCAGGGGCCATGTAATGACAAGGTGACCACGGGACACCGACAGCAGGGGTCATGTAATGACAAGGTGACCACGGGACACCGACAGCAGGGATGGGACAACGACAGCAGGGGTCATGTGATGACTAGTGCCAGAGAACACCGACAGCAGGGATGGGACACCAACAACAGGGGTCATGTGATTACAAGATGACCACGGGACACCGACAGCAGGGATTGGACACCAGCAGTGGTCATGTAATGACAAGGTGACCACGGGACACCGACAGCAGGGATTGGACACCAGCAGGGGTCATATAATGACAAGGTGACCACGGGACACCGACAGCAGGGATGGGACACCAACAGCAGGGGTCATGTGATGACAAGGTGACCACAGGACACCGACAGCACGGATTGGACATCAGCAGGGGTCATGTAATGACAAGGTGACCACGGGACACCGACAGCAGGGGTCATGTAATGACAAGGTGACCACGGGACACCGACAGCAGGGATGGGACACCGACAGCAGGGGTGATGTGATGAAAAGATGACCACGGGACACCGACAGCAGGGGCCATGTGATGACAAGTTGACCACAGGACACCAACAGCAGGGATGGGACACCGACAGCAGGGGTCATGTGATGACAAGTGCCAGGGAACACCGACAGCAGGGATGGGACAACAACAACAGGGGTAATGTGATGACAAGGTGACCACGGGACACCGACAGCAGGGATGGGACATCGACAGCAGGGGTCATGTGATGACAAGTGCCAGAGAACACCGACAGCAGGGATGGGACACCAACAACAGGGGTCATGTAATGACAAGGTGACCACGGGACACCGACAGCAGGGATGGGACACCAACAACAGGGGTCATGTGATGACAAGGTGACCACGGGACACCGACAGCAGGGATTGGACACCGACAGCAGGGGTAATGTAATGACAAGGTGACCACGGGACACCGACAGCAGGAATGGGACACTGACAAGGTGACCACGGGACACCGACAGCAGGGATTGGACACCAGCAGGGGTCATGTAATGACAAGGTGACCACGGGACACCGACAGCAGGGATGGGACACCGACAGCAGGAATGGGACACCGACAGCAGGGGTCATGTGATGACAAGTTGACCACGGGACACCGACAGCAGAGATGGCCCATCAACAGCAGGGGTCATGTGATGACAAGGTGACCACGGGACACCGACAGCAGGGATGGGACACCAACAACAGGGGTCATGTGATGACAAGTTGACAACGGGACACCGACAGCAGGGATGGGACACCAACAACAGGGGTCATGTGATGACAAGTTGACCACGGAACACCGACAGCAGGAATGGAACACCATCATACTCCTTTACGCATCTCCCGTTGGCTAGGTAGTGGCTGTTGACATCTGAAGTTTTGAATCTTGTATCGTAAGAAATGATCGAAAAGAAATTTTAAAGTTATTTTTTTTTAAATACTTTTCCTGTGTGTTTCATGTTGTGTAACACAATGTAATATGTAGCCGATACATTTCAAAAATTGGTCCAGTAAGCAATTAATTACTTTACATTCAAGTCCCAATTAGAGTTTCAAAAAAATACCGGGGGTTAATATATATGTATGTATATATATATATTACATTGTACACGTAAATGTTTTTCTAGGGATATAAAGACATTTCGCACGTGCCGTTTCCAGACTACACACGATATAAAGATGTGACATCTAGGAATTTTTGTGCAAACAATGACATGTTGATAACCAACGGACCTACATTTACAGGTAAATAACCGAGGAAAGATTTGTATCGTACAACTTGCCTGGTGTATATACGTTTATTGTATAGGCTCAAAATATACTTATTTTTATCAACATAGTTAAGCCCTAAACTGTTTTTTATCTTATTCAGTGTTATTGTGGCAATATGAATGATCCCACACGCCTGATATTCCTAAGCTCTGTGGTTCATTAACTTCCAACACACACTATTTGTAATTCTGTACATGTGCCCGACATTTTGTTGATTACACTTATGTTAGACGCGCTGACAGCTTAAGTGGTTTTAACCTCGACAGGTGCACGAAGCGTCAGTATAACCCTGATCTGTTCAATAGTCGTATGTATGCGCTTATGAATCAAACACGTAGAAGACACGGATCCTTCATAGAAACGAAAGCTACACACAACTCTCTTACTTTTTCGTTGTATTACTTGCATGAAGTCAAAGATATCCCGAATGGATGATAACCCTTTAAACAATATGGCGTCGGAATCACTTGGATTGTAAATCGTACTATCTCTCCAGGTAATTATATCAATGAAATTCCGTACATCATTGTATATTGATACTATTATGGTATGGTTTTAGTTGGAATATTTATTTTCCTTATAAACGTCAAATCACGGATTAATTATTAATTTATTACCAGACCAAGCCCAAACAAATGAAATATACCAAACACTTTCACTAGAACAAAGGGTTGTTTTCTTCATCACGAATACTTGTTTATTCAATATTTCCCATGCTCCACTAGTTTTTGAACACTATAATCCATCCACACTTACGTTGGGTAATTTGTTATAAAAGTTATCCTGTACAATTCTCATTCTGATACAAATGTATGATTCATATGTAGTATTGATTTCATGCATTTCTTAAAATGACACATTGTATTTTCATTGGTTGGAAACATCCTTCTCGATTTGGCGAGGATACACTGATCACCCCAACCCCTCCTCCAAATACAACCTCTCATTACAGAGGATTAAAAAACCCTGTGAACAATAACTGACAAATATATGTTTTCTGTGTGGTATTTACATTTCAATACACCATACAATGCACAGTGTAGGTTATACTTAATGTAATGGCCAGCCACAAGGAACTATAACAAAGGTAAATTATGGATTTTTTAAAATATACAAATGTATGATTTTCTGATAAAGTTTCAATATTATCAATGGCAATATTGCTTAGTGGTATGGTTTCTCAATTTGTGTAAGATATAGGCAACATACTTTCAAAAGTTTTGTTTGCAAATGTAACTTATGATATAAATATCTCAAACTGTGAATAAAGATATGCCATATTGTCTGTTAAAAGAACTTTATGATCTACCTGTACACCAAAGTGTCAGGAGTCGAAGGATTTTTACAATGAAATGATGTGCTAGAATTTCAGTGCTTCCTCACAAATCCAAATATGTTTGTTTTAGCCTGTACAAACTAAACAAGTGAATCTGCATCTATTGATTTTAAAGAATCTTTTTGAAGCAATAACTGTTGTCCTGAAAGTCATGTCTTTACTGAAACTGATACATCAACATAGAATGGTGTGAAAATGTTGCATTCAAAAGAGCACTTTCTGAAATGGTACATCTACACACATCAATACATCAATGATTAAATTGCTTTCTGTGCAATACCACTATAGCTGTTTCTAGATAAAGACAGATGCTTCACATCAGACAGAAAAAGAATGATGTTGAAAGTAAGTCCAGTATTTAGGTGGGATGAAACTGCTAAGTGGATATATTCAATGAAACACTTTCTTTGGATCAGTAAAAAACAATCTATTGTTCATGGAATATTTCATTCTCCTGGAGAATTTTGGGTATAAAAGTAGCATTTATTTCAAAACTAAACTTGAAATTTATATCTAATACTCAGGCCACTGTTGTTCAAAGGCTCGTTACAGATAACCAGTGGTAAGTGAAAATGTTCAAAAAAGAATTTAACAAATTTGGAAACATATTTTATAATTTTACAGATGTAGGTTTATTGTGACTGGTCAGATTGCTTTATATTTTAAGTGCTCATTGTGCATTTAACATCCTTCTTTGTTCAGTGGCAACAATTTGAATTTTTCACTAAACAACTCTGAATAACTTTTGAGCAACTGGGGCCAGCTGAAAAATATTTATAGTTTGAAATGTCAGATAACTGTGCTAGTAAACACTTGTGACAGTAAAAGACTGAGGTAAAATGCGACACATTATGTCTCCTTGGAGAGAGTTTTAGTGGCATGAATTCTCCAACTAACAGTCCATAAAGTGATAGTGACACTATATAACACACATATATGGACTATTGGCTAGTAATTTGTGCCAAGTCCCTGTAGTTTTATTCTGACTCAGTTTTAAAAATATTCATCATGGAAAACACCAATGTGATGAGACACATCAAAGAGCTGTGCTAGATGTTTGGGAGTGGTCCAGTGTTTTTGTCACCATTACAATCAATTCTCAGTTAAATCAGAGAAATCTACTGTACATTGTATTGAAAACAAAATAAAAAGGGTAATGGTTATCAATTTTAATCATAAATTTCAATAATGCTGGTTTACCCTGGAGTTTGAAGTAAGATAAAATGGTGTTGCTTGCTGAATTGTGTTTTGTTCAAAAACAGTAGATATTCCAACAGTACAATTTATGAATTCACAGTTAATGAATAAAATACTGAAGCATTATATCTATTAAAAGTTCATAGTTTATTTATTCTTTTGTACATACCACAGTGAATAATATATTTGTTTAGCTATCAAAAATGTGTATCTTCAGGGTCTGATGAGGAAGATTGTAATCTACAAATAGATCTTGGCTTTAAATTCCAGTCTTTTATTCACACTCTGACTCTTTCTGTGTACTGGAGCGTGACAAACTTATTTGTTTGACACAAAGTATACACTACTTAACGTAGGTCTACATATGCCCATGATTTGATGTTAACAGAAGATGTTTGATCTTCTTCAGAGAAAATTACGATGTTTTACATCATTTATATTATTTTTGTTATCATCCTCATGAGCCGAGGCACTGAAATCTCGGTCTCAGCTTAAACATATAATAATAATAATAATAAGTGATGATTCTTTTTATTTGACCGTCAAATTTTGGTATGGTCCATCTGTTGTCCCCCTCTATTTGTCCACCAGACCCTGGTTGTTCAAAATTTACAAATATAAATCAAACAAAATTGATATCATTGTAGATTTGTTAAGACAGGTCAGATTGATGTATTTTTGTGTCATTTTCATGCTCTTGTTTTTTCAATGGCTACAATCTGAATTGTCACTTATATCTATAACTGGTGAAGTGTAACTAACCTTTGAACAATATTGGTTCTGCCATATATCCTAAATTCCATGGTGAACTATTCATTATTATTAATTTTTTTGAGCTTTCATTATCTTCTATATTTTTAGAACAAAATATATGTGTATCACATAGTAATTTATGTCAGCTCAAGGAACTTTTTTTTTATTTATTATTATCTTTATGTTTTATTACTTTATTTATTATTATTATTACTACAATATAGTTTTCAAGGCTGAAACAATTTTCCATCAAAGATTTATAGAAATAATCAATTTATTAGTAGTTTAAAATCTACATGGTCCATTTCTTGTGATTTGTGTAGTACAGAAATTTTGTTTTAGAGAAGAAGTTTTATTTTTTGATTTGGTCATTGAATACTTTTGTTTAAAACCAAAAACTCAAATTCAGATTTTTTGATTTTTGAAATTTCCTCAATTTATTTTTGAAGTAGTGATGTAAATTATTAATCAAGTGTTCCCTTGACCTTTGGTTAAGGCATTATTAACCAAGTGTTCCCTTGACCTTTGGTTAAGGCATTATTAACCAAGTGTTCCCTTGACCTTTGGTTAAGGCATTATTAACCAAGTGTTCCCTTGACCTTTGGTTAAGGCATTATTAACCAAGTGTTCCCTTGACCTTTGGTTAAGGCATTATTAACCAAGTGTTCCCTTGACCTTTGGTTAAGGCATTATTAACCAAGTGTTCCCTTGACCTTTGGTTAAGGCATTATTAACCAAGTGTTCCCTTGACCTTTGGTTAAGGCATTGTTTGTATCCTGATCTTTTTTTATTTCATACGTCAGAGATGATAAGAGTTTAGTGAGAAACAACAACATTTACATCAACATCCAAGAAAGGACAGATCACTGCCATGGTGCTTCATCATAACATAAACCTTGGTCAGCGAGTTGAGGTCAAGATTGGCTATTCTGTGTTCAGGGGAATGGTCAAGTATAAGGGGACAGTGGTGGGACGGAAAGGTGAATGGGTCGGAGTCAGTCTAGATGTTCCAGGTAAGTTAATATTAAGTGAAAACTTTTACGCTTTGTCTTTAAACTATTTGGGATGGAGAAATTTTCATTGTGCAGGCAATATTATGATGCTGCAGTATGTACATAGCTTGTGAAATGTAGTCAGGTGCGTGGTTTGATGCTTTGCTGCCTGTATAGGTTTGTGTGTTTTCAGGAGGTTGAGAAACAACTGATTTGGACTGTTGAGGTTAAATCTGACAATGCAAGTTAAAAAACTTTCATGTGGAGAAAAAAAATTGTAATCAAAGCAGGGCAACGCTGAAGCATTTAGGAAACAGAAACTATGTATCTATCTCAGAATGATTTCATTTTAACTTTTATCATCAGCTTTAATTGTCCAGGCCACAACATACAACCATTAATTAATTAATCATTTATATTTGTGTTATCAAGCATCGCATCAAAGATTGAAATGTAACCAATTGAATGTTGAACTGATATCTCTGACAGCTGGAGACAATGATGGAATGGTATTAGGACGAAGATATTTCTCATGCAATAAAGATCAAGGTGTCTTTGTCCGTGCCAACTGTGTTCGCTTTATCCCTGTAGTACGGAGGTAAGTAAGAAAATGTGACTTGATCCATAACAGAAAATGTAGAATGCTGTATATTTCACTCCCAGAACATTTCACATCCACGTCCAAAATGAATTGGAATGAACCCAAAAAAAAATGTCAATTAAATGATAAAAGAGAAAACAAAAATTAGACCTGAAAGATGGTTTGTTTTTAAGTGAGTCACATAACCTAAGATGCCAACACAGATACAAGATTAAATGGTTTAACAATCCTAATTATATCCTTGCTATCAGTCGTCATATATGCATACATATGTTTGTATGTAAAAAACAACATCATTGCTCTACAGGATGCATTTCTCATCTAAATGTCACAAAACTCCACACATCTGATTGCAAACATCTGTTCTGGAACAACTTTGATTACTAACCATGTGTGAGCAAAAACAAGGTCATGGTTACTATAAGTAGAAATGAGAATTTATATGTCACTGCTCTACAGACTGCATATTGAAACTGATTGATACAAAATTTCACACATGATCACAAACATCACTTCTTGTACGATTTCAACTTTCAACCTTGTGCAGTCAAAAATTGGGTTGCTGATACTTTAAATAGAAGTAAACAGAAATGTATACGTCATCGCTCTAAAGGATGCATTTCTAAACTGGTTGGTACGAAATTCCACAAAGAAGATCACAGACATCACTTCTTGTTAACAGTTTCACATCAATCTTTTGCAGTCAAATACTAGGTCATTGTTACTCTAATTAGAAACTAACACTGTTTTCACATCGTTGCTCAAAGACTTCATTGCTTCTACAAATCATGCCAAACTACAGACATATTTTAAGAAAGATCACCTTTTGTACAAGTCAAAGTTTTGACCTTCAGTAGTGAAAAAACTAGGTCAACTTTACTATGAATAGAAACTATCTAAACTTTGGATGTCACCATTCTACAGAATGTAATCTGACTACCAGGACACACATCACATGTGTCAGTGGAACCAACTTCACTAAGTATTTATGTAATTGATAATGCTGTACATGTTTGTATGAAAACATTTACCTGTACAACATTTATGAAAACTTCCGATTATTCTCATAAAAGAAATCAAATATTGTCCTTTGATGCATAACTTGAAAAAATATAAGCGGAATTACATTTTGGTGACAAATCTGCCAACTGCTAGAATATAGTATTTAGTTTTCTCTACAGTAACTTTAAATCTGTTTGTAAAGCTTTATTTTCTGTTTTTAGCATCTTAATATGAATGAATTTTCATTTTAGATTGTTTAACAAATACCATCGAGTACGAGAGAATTCTTATGTTGAAGAGCCCCTCTTTGGTTCAGCTCCAGGTTGGTATTTATTTTATAGATTCAGATATCCAGTACAGATTGAATTTTCAAAATAATTTTGTCAGATTGTAAACATTAACAGGAATGTGTGTAAATGGTTTTACATGTGTTTAAGATACAGATTTCTCGCAAACCTTTCATATGCTGTATGAGAAATCAGGGCACCAGAAACACTCATCGATCATAATTACAGTTGTTCAAAATTTACAACAGCGGCAAATAAAAGATTTTAATCAGTTCTTCTAATTTTATGAACAATGATCCTGATGAATGATTCTCTTGAGAGACTGCAGCCAGTTTATATTTACCTGTTCTGTACAGTAACCAAATAGAGTTCCACTTACTATGAATAGATGTGGTGACAGTATCATTTTTTTGATTAAGAAAGGTCAAGGTTGTGAAAGTTGAACCATTACTGTTAGGATTAGCATTGGTGAAGAGGCTACATACATCTGTGTATTAAACAGAAGAAAATATTGTTTATATCTACACTGGTTACATATCGAAATTCAAAGTGCATAAGTTTTGTTTGCATTTTGATTTCTGTTGATAACTGTTAAAAAGCATGCAATTTACAGTGAGTTTGGATGTTTTTTTTTCTATCTTGATTTTCATGTCCTGGTCTTTTAACTGTTGTGTGTTTATTTTTACACTATTGTTTAATTTCAAGGGATATAGTAATATCACATTTAACTTCAGAAATCTGTGTTTCTCTTGTTTCAATCATGGTACAAAGCATGACATTTTGGAAATTTCTTTTTTCCTTTAATCCAAGTGTGCTGTTGTCACTTAACATATGTTTATCAATAAGACATCACACTTGAGAAATCTCTTTCAGTTGCCTGCCAGGAACCTCCAAGAATTTCAAATCGTTACCAAGACCAGCTACAATCTCGTCATTCATTTGATGGTAAGGCATCTTACATCAGTTTCTGCCTTTGAATTCTGTATTGATAAGCTCACCAATATCTATTTGAAAAGACAAACAAATACTATTAGCTCGACTCTTAGTCAGAGTAAATACAAGATTTGCCATGTTTCTAGGGCTTTTGCAGGATAAGTCTAAAGTGATATAGGTATGATAGTTTTTTGTTGGTTCATTTTCATAATCAATTGTTGTAAAAATTACACCTGTACAGCATATCTTTCTTTATTTGTTATGAAAATGTTTTCAGTCAGATGGAAGTTGGACTTGATTGTTATCAAATACTCAAAATACTCCTCTCTATGAAAGCATGATGTCCTGCCTTGGAGTACATAACATACAGTGAATAATTTACAATAAAACACATTTTATTGTGTTAACCTTACACAAGATATTTTTATATATTTACACTTGCAAAGTTTGATCACTATACAACATAACCAGATTAAAGTATTTACCATTCTAGCATGGAAACCTTTAAAACTTGTGCATATGTTACAGAAATCTTTTGATACCAAACACAAGAATATATAATGAAATTTTGTTTAATTATATTTATCAGATAGGGCCCAGGATTCAATAATCTGTAAACATTTTTTATATTACTATCACACTTATAAAGGGAACTTTTTATGGCCACAGAGGAAAATGATCAATTTATTCTGAAAAGTCACATTGGCTGTTCTATATATATATTACATGTATATTACCCACCAAAGACCAATGTTTCCGGAGTTATTATGTCACATACTAACAAGGATTGTTCTACAACAAATTTTGATGACAAGACACTGACGTGTAAACATAGGGATTAGATTTCACTGTTATGTTAAAGATGTAGCAGTTCCGTTAAGACTATGTTAGCGCCCCGTAGAATATATTCTTTGAGGAACCGTTCCATAAAAGCATAGTAAAATCCAATCTCTACATGAATATAGCAAAGGTTAAATCTGCTGTTAACATGCCAAAATTCTAGCTTTCCTTATAATTCGAGTGATTGCTTAGTTCCGTAAAATAAAGAAATTAGTAGCCTTCCTTTGATCTTTCTGATGTAATATTGTCACTGTGTTACCAAAGAGTTGATTATTTTCATACAAATATTTTCACTATGTTGCAAAATATTAACATGATCTTGAACATTTTAAGCATAAAATAATGTGACGTGTGTATTCCATTTTCCTTTTAAATCCAGATGGTGGAATTGATATTCTTTGAAGAAGAAACTTAACAAAAACAATAGGGGTGATGGGTGAAAAGCCCTAATTACAAATATTTTGACCCATGAAAAAAGCAGGAATGTGGTAACACTCGTTTTGTCCAGTTTTAAACAATCTTATCTCTGACACTTTCGTTGTTTTTTATTTATGTTATTCCTTTAAGAGCTTTTTTTCCTCCTTGTGTAAAATTGCCCTTATTAGTCCCCTGCTGGTGAAACCGGAGGGGACTATAGTGTTTGTCTCCGTCTGTTCGTCTGTCTGTCCGGATGTTTGTTTCCAGACGATAACTTGAGAACAGATTGATAGATTTGGATCAAACTTCATACAATGGTAGTTTATAAGGCAATATAGTGTGGGATTTAGTTTGGGGTCAAAAGGTCAACTACAAAGGTCACTGTTACTAAAAATAGAAATTGTTATCACATTTTAGTTTCCGGACAATAACTTGAGAATGGATTGATGGATTTGGATGAAACTTCATACAATGGTAGTTTATGAGACAATATAGTGTAGGATATTGTTTGGGGTCAAAAGGTCAACTACAAAGGTAACTGTTACTAAAAATAGAATCTTGTCACAATTTAGTTTTCAGACATTAATTTGAGAATGGATTGATGGATTTGGTTGAAACTTGATACACTGGAAGCTTATAGATAATAAAACAAGACACTTCTGATACAGAACAAGTTCTACATTACTTGAAAATATAATGTATTTATACTGCAATTAGATCATGGGGCCAACATATAAACTCGGATCCATAGTAAAGGGTTAAGCTTATTGCAAACAGTTAAGTAGCATTTGCTTCCATTTGCTTTACAACAGAATATTGGTGGGCTTATTAGCAGATATGGGCTTATTTGCTGATAAATACAGTAATTTACGGCAGTGGACATGTGTTGCATGCAACACTAACTGTAAGCTTGTTATGTAATGGCTTTTCCTGTGTTTATTTGATGTTAAGAATATAGAAATCAAATTGTTACAATTCTTACAAACAGTTTTGCTGTTAAGAATCTTATGCTTTCAAGACTTACAAACCTTGTTTATTCTTTTGTTTTCATTTAATTGTCATTTCTAATTTTGTGTCCTATTGTTTACAGATCTAATGACTGGTCCAAAAACCCACCCACTGCTTCACTCCGTAGGTAACAAAATCCCAGCTGCCACCATGCGTCGTCCCAAAACTGCCATGTCTCAATTCTCCTACCTTTCTTCGCCAATTCACCGTGAATATGCACCTGAAGGCGAGTTTATCTCCACGCCAACCATTCCAAAAACTCACATGCCGCATTCGGCTCTTCGTAACCAGGTTCAACGTGGTTGGGACGGTTCTCACTATGTACGTGAGATGTCTGTTGGGACGGGGAGAGACTCCATGAAGCTGTCCCAGTGGAATGATATATCCTACTAAACCTGATGATTGATACTTAGTTATCATAGAGAGATTTTGTTGGAAAATCAGAGACCTATATAATGCAAACTGCTAACATATTCTGTTTTTTTTTATGTTTTTTAGATATTTATCAACATTCTAACAGTCTCACTGGTTTTAAGATATAAAATTGGTTCGTAATCAATATTTTATCAACATTCTAACAGTCTCACTGGTTTTAAGATATAAAATTGGTTCGTAATCAGAACAAAATATCATGAATACAATCTCTTTTATGTCATAAAAAATATTGATGAGTCATGAAATATGAATTTTACTTACTGCAAAAAAATGTCACTGTTACAAAAAAAATCTTTAAAGTACTTTTTCATGTTGTAGTTTGCTAGTTAATTTTTTCTTACAAACAGGGTGATCCTGTTTTTGCTTAGGATGAGATAATTCTGTCCTCAGGATTGCGTCCTTTTGTTGAATAAGAAATTAAACCATATCATGAGATAATGGCATGAATTTAGACACATTTTTCATCAGCCATTGATTATGGCACATTGTAATAAAAACATTTAATATGTTACAATTTTATTCCAAGGATATGAGAATAAATTATCAATGATCAGTCTGTTATCTGGACAAAAAATTCTCAACCATTGTGTAATAGTTTAGCTCACAAGCATTCGAGGAACCTCGTTCTTACCAGCCAAACTGTTACAGGTTGAGATATACCTACAGAACAAACCAATATCATGTTCTGTTAATATGGAATGACTGTATGTACGAAGTGGTCAAATGTACGCAGAGATTCAAGTAAAATAGAGTTATACCCCTTGTGGATTTAAAAATACATTTATTGAAATATTGCATATGTTATTGTTGTAAAGAACATATACTTAATAACATTTACACAACTTTTCATTGTTGTTTACCTCTATAATGTTATAATGTTATTTCTTTCTTTTAAATTAGAATGTACAACAATGAAATATTCCTATACAGAAGGTCTTAAAGTATGGACTATTTTTCCTGGTAGACGGTGGTTATGACAGCTGTGAGTAGAATGTTGTGCCTCTAAACCCTCAGGTCTGAGGTGTGTGGTTCAATATTCCTTACCCGTAGTGCTTTGTTTTTCTCAGTAAGCTTGGAAGTGGAATGGTCTTTGCTTATGTGGTTGTGTCTTTTGGCTTTGGGATTTACCTCTATTGCTCTGGATGGCATGCAACAGGCCTCCTGTTTGTTGTTCGGTGAAGTAGCCACCACCTTCTCGAAGGAAAGCCTGCCTCAAAATGTCTCTGAGTGTTCATAGGTGATCAATTCCTGGAAGTCATACAATACCAAAATATAGAAAAACTGTTTAGTAAGTATAGGTGTTGTTGAACAGACACTTCCTGTACTTGGAAATTACTTCCTGGAACTTTCAGTCGTCTCACAGTAGTTACCATACCACATCAATATGTCAGTAAGCCTACCCCTGGTGATATACAAATATTATATGTACTATGCACAGACAGAGTGAGAGGTATAATTAAAATAACAATGGAGCTGAGAGCTGCCACTTCTGATGATGAATATGAATATTGTCTGTGATAATTTTCCTTTTTTTTGTATTTTATGTGATTTTTAATGCAATTCATTAACATTATTTTCAGTCTATCACTCATCTCATTACTTACAAATTATTTGGGTTCAAATCACCATTTGTGTGTGTGAGTCCCAATGAAACATTATGAATTGAAAAATTCAGAAAGATCTGAAAAGAAGTGAATTTGTATGCTGTAGAAACATCTGGGTATATAAGTAACAAATACAAATGTTTGCATTATCTACTGGAGATTTATGCTTCTCTATTACATAACTTACTGGAGCGTGTACCTACATAACCTCAGGTGCAAATACAAGCGGCATGGTTCTCGAAGCTGAGAAATGAACCCTTCTGTGCTGTTATGGTTGTACCCTTAGGCACTTCACCCTTTTTGCTCTGGATGCAATTGGACCTTCTGTTTTGTTGTTCAGTTAGGATATCTGCAGACATTTTAAGGAGACATTGCCTCAAAATGGCCCTGACTGTTCACAGGACAATAAATTTAACAAAACCAACAGGTATATTATTGAATTTAAATGTGAGCAGTTTATTTTATTGTAAGCAAAACATTCAATTATCAGTCTTAGTTTACGAAATACATGATGTGAAATTTTAGTATTGTGTGGAGGGGAAAGTTCAGAAAAGAATGGTTATGAAATCTGTTAATTGATAGTAGTTAATTAGAGTAATAGTGGACACAGGCCTTAGTAATGAAAATAGACTTATATATGTAGACAAATATAAGTAAAATGATATATGTAGACAAATATAAGTAAAATGATAAATGAATAGTCTTATTTATTATGGTTGACATTTAGTTGTGTACAATAGTGCGTGTGTGGGTAAAGGGAGACAACTACACTGTAGCTGTTATATTTTCTGTTGAATATATATTCAACAGAAATGTTTTACAATGTTTTTGATTTATTCATAATTCATTCACTGGTAATCTATGCAAACTGTGATTTTTGAGTTTTAATTCTAGTTAAATGCAACAAAAATTTAAAGAAACTTTTTTATCATACTTTACTAATCTTCATAAGGTTGATTATAATTTTGAGTAATTTTAATTTGTAAAATCCATTTTTTAATCATAAATGTCTGTGATATATGTGAATATTATAGATAGAAAATAAATTTACATTTGATCACTGCTACCCTGATATTCTATTTTTTGAAAAATTTAAGATCTGCTGTACTTAAATTTAGGAACATGTTTGATTTTCATTTTTGTCTCCATTACATTGGATAAATCCACATTGTATAACCATGTAAATATTGCCCTAAATCTGCAACATGTTAAATGTATACAGGACATTATAGTTCAGTACCAACTTATATGCAATTGTATTTCATTCTGACAAAGGTGATCTGATGAACTTCAATATATATTTTTATTCATCATGATTTGAAACGAAGGTGATCTTGTGAGGGAAAAATGAAATTTGTCTTCATTATCTTCATTTAATGTCACTCATGATAAAATGATAGCACAAAGTTAAAGAATGAAATCCAAAATAGTTTGGCATGAAGATCCAGATACAGATAAAAATGACAAGAGAATTTATTTAGTGTTTTATAGTTATGAATAAAAAAAATTAATTTAACATATCAAAACAAGCTATGTTTGTATCCTACATATTTGTGTACATGTACAAATTGATATATTAAGCTGTTCTGTGTATATTCAGTGACTGTTTGAGTAGATGATAGAAATACTGTACACACATAGATATGTAAGGAGAACAGAAAGTCTCACATGTATATTAGGTGTATGTTTGTCATAGTAAGAGAGGATATTATTGAAGACATAAGTTATATATGTATTTTAGCTTTGTGAGTAAGAGTAGTTCATCTCGACTGAAGTTTGTAATAGATACAGATATATTTTACAAACTTATTAATTATTTATTTTATATCCAGATGCCATGTTTCATGTGTCCTACACCGAACTTTTGATCTGTGCGTCATTTCCTTGTTGTCGTAAAGATCATTCAGCATGCTGTATTTATCTGTCAATAAGCCAAGGCCTGGTAATAAGCCCACCTATTTTGTATATCTGTATTTTGTATAACATAACAAATATACAAATATGTCCTGTAATAAGCCCATCCTTAGCTGTTCAGCAGCAGTACAAACAAATGATATTTCATTGTCTTGTTATAAGCCCAACCATATCTTCAGCTTTTCAGCAGCTTTACTAACAAAATGCTATTTTTAATATGGTGTAATGTATTGAGCCATACCATATCAACATAACTACTTTAATAGTATCTTGAAATAAGCCCACCCTCTGCATTTGAGTCAGATATAACAGGTTAGCTCTAGGCTTATTGTTGGATAATTACAATATGATAATTTAATTAATTTACTAACGAAGCTTCCTTAATTTATTATCTGTTTCAATGTTGTTATATACACAATATTTTATACTCTATATTATCTATATACACTTCCATACACAAACTGTATCTGTGATCCTGTTAAATTATTGTTTATCTATCTGCTTGTTGTTTATAGACAGTAATCCATTTAGTTGTTTTGTTTCTACACAGCAAGATATCATACTCTATTACACAATAGTGTTAAATTGACTTTATTTATGAAATAGCTGTAATTATTTCAATGCGTCCACTTGGATTCGAACCCAGGATCTTTGGTTAACAGGTCTTATGCTTAGAGAGATCTCTACTAGTTGAGCCTTTTATTGTGACTAAAATTTGCCAAGGTTACAGGAAGTTCTGGCAAATGGCTTGTAATTAGTTTTTAACATTTTTTCAGTTGAATTGACCAAATTGATTATCAAATCACTCTCCGAGAAACTTTTGTCTCGAAATATTCACTCCAATGAATATCACCACCATATCCCTTTTTTGGAAAAGAAGAGAAATAGGGATTTATGTCAGAATTATTTTTTAACATGGAATTTTAATTTGATTTTATAAAAAAAATGAAGTTGTTTTGTCACTACAGTATGTAATTGATATTGTGTATACTATCCCTTCAGTTCACATTTGTAACAAGGGTTATCATGATTATATTTTCTGTATATATGTGAACACAGCATTATCAGGTTGAAGTAGACATTGATTGCCATTGGTGAAAGGTAAAGGGTCAATTTGTTTTAAATAAATATTGTTTATTCTAACAAATAGTTACGTTTTGATTTTCTATAGTGTCAACTTTGCTTTGAATGGTGCTTGATGGACCTCTCACATGTTGTTCAACGAAATAATCACTTATACTGATGATCCTTAATTTTTATTCCAGTCTTGATTGTTCATACATGATGTCTAGAAATGGGAAAGATTGGCTTGAGAGCTTGTACCCAGATTAATCAAATAAGGTTTTCTCTACAACTATTTTGTTATGTTTGAATACTTCACTAGCATTGTAATAGGCGACCAGATTTAGGATCTCTCTCTCTCTCTCTGTCAATCTATTTCTAAGGAACATTCTAATGTCTTTTATTTGCAGCACACCTATGTTGGCTGCATTCACATTGCATATACATGTATATGCGTCCGCATAGCAGTGTCAGGCCTTGATAAACCGAGGCCCATGACGGTGTCAGGACTTTGATAAACCGAGGCCCATAATGGTGTCAAGCCTTTGATAACCAAGGCCCATGGCGGTGTCAGGCCTATGATAAACCGAGGCCCATGACAGTGTCAGGCCTATGATAAACCGAGGCCCATGACGGTGTCAGGCCTTTGGTAAATCGAGGCCAGTGACGGTGTCAGGCCTATGGTAAACTTAGGCCTGTGACGGTGTCAGGCCTATAATAAACCGAGGCCCGTGACGGTGACTGGCCTATGGTAAACCAAGGCCCGTGACGGTGTCAGGCCTTTGATAATCCGAGGCTCGTGACTGTGTCAGGCCTATGGTAAACCGAGGCCCATGACGGTGTCAGGCCTATGATAAACCGAGGCCCGTGATGGTGTCAGGCCTATGATAAACCGAGGCCTATGATAAACCGAGGCCCATGACGGTGTCAGGCCTTTGATAAATCGAGGCCCATGACGGTGTCAGGACTTTGATAAACCGAGGCCCATGGCGGTGTCAGGCCTTTGATAAACCGAGGCCCATTACGGTGTCAGGCCTTTGATAAACCGAGGCCCATGACGGTGTCAGGCCTTTGATAAACCCGAGGCCCAGGACGGTGTCACGACTTTGATAAACCGAGGCCCATGACGGTGTCGGGCCTTTGATAAACCGAGGTCCATGATGATGTCGGGCCTTTGATTAACTGAGGCCCGTGACGGTGTCGGGCCTTTGATAAACCGAGGCCCGTGACGGTGTCGGGCCTTTGATAAACCGAGGCCCGTGGCGGTGTCGGGCCTTTGATAAACCGAGGCCCATGGCGGTGTCGGGCCTTTGATAAACCGAGGCCCATGGCGGTGTCGGGCCTTTGATAAACCGAGGCCCATGACGGTGTCGGGCCTTTGATAAACCGAGGCCCATGGCGGTGTCGGGCCTTTGATAAACCGAGGCCCATGGCGGTGTCGGGCCTTTGATAAACCGAGGCCCAGGACGGTGTCGGGACTTTGATAAACCGAGGCCCATGGCGGTGTCAGGACTGTGATAAACCGAGGCCCATGACGGTGTCAGGCCTTTGATAAACCGAGGCCCATGACGGTGTCAGGCCTATGATGAACCGAAATAGATTCTGCAAAAGTTGATGTAGGTGTTCAGTTGGTTCCAGAACTGCATGTTACAATGTATGGATGGTCAAACGGAAATTTGTATCATAATCCTTTTTCCCTAACAATGAGAAGTGCGGTGCATGTTGTCTGTCTACCCTGAATCGTTGCAGATTGGTAAAAACAAGCAAAAAGTCGTGAAAAAAGTATCTTATCATTAGCATGAATTGCTATGTTTATTATGTGTCTTGTGATATACAAACCAGGAACATATCTTTTTGCGGTGTCTGAAGTCATAATGCTGTGTTCTAATTATTAAAATTATACAAAGAAATACATTCCTGTGGTTGTATACTGGTTAAGAGAGAATCATTTGCTGATTTACTTAATTGTAAACATTTCAATGAACTTAAATAGCCAGAAAATGTTCCACTGCAGAATGATAGATACGTTTCATTAAAAAACTAGAGTTATTTCCCTTAGCGCACATTACTGAAACCAGGGCCATCCCTGATGAAGCACAAAAGCACACATCACAATTTGTCTGTTTCATTATTTAGTTCCCTGTGAACATTTAACATTGAATTAAATAAAGTTGAAATTCAAATTATAAATTAGTTTCTTCTAATAACATTTTAAATATTTGTATTCAGTCACCAATAAAGACGGTCCAACCCTATAAAGGAGGATGGAGATCAACGTCACCAGAACAATTTGACATCATGACGTTCTTTGGCAAGAAAACGCTTAAAATTAGCAATATGACGTCACGGAGACAAAAAGCTGTAGCCAAATATCCCATCCAACCAGTCAAGCACTTTCATATAATTTACCGGGGGCATAGCTGCCTTTAGGCGAAGGAAATTGCATGCACAAATAGTTCCGTATAATAGGTTGATAATTGTTACAAGAGAGACATCACTTTTTCTACGGGATACCACAGGTTACCTCCCCTTAACCCGTATCGAGTCGTAGGCACGAGAGCCCACAGGTAGAATTTGGGTGGTGGGGGATCAGTCATGGATAAGTGATTTTATCAAATTACACTCTGTTCGAAATAGTATGGTACATTTTGAATTTAAATGCGAGATAGTATAAATATCATAGCGTTATTATTTAGGTCAACAATATTTTCTGAATAAAAACATCATTTTATTAAATGAGTGCATATGGTCAGTTATTTGGAAGGACGCGCCAGTAAAACCACAACTGAGAACCCCTGTGGTTTACTGGACAGTGTGAACTATAGTCATTTCTCATCGTCTCACTTTATGTCCTATATGATTTCTCACATTACTATAGTCAATATACGAAGAAATCATCTGACTTGTTCAGGGTCGTATGATGAAGACACCCCTGGATTTGGTTTAAAATTAAACTGCGAGAAAATCTAGAATTTGAAAATACATTTGAACAGAACAATTGATTATGACTGTAGAAATTAAAATATGAAGATTGACAACTAAAAACTCTTGATCAAGGATTCGGATTGTACGAGACTTCTACCGTTAACTATATCTTAAAGTAACCTATTACTTAGGAAAGAAAGACAATGATTAGGAATTGATTAACCGCTACATTTAAAAGGACTTTTTTCTACTGTGGCAATGCTTTTATCCAATAAAAATACATAGTACAGAGCAAATCTCGAATTCATTTAACCTGTACATTTATGACTTACATTTATAAATAGCAGTCAATAAGTCAATTTATTTATGTAATCCATTTGCTTACTTGTAGCAACATCAATCCATGTTTTTAATTTTAAAACAACAAGTCCGTGATTTTTTAAGTCCAATATAATGATATACAATGTACTAAATGCGATACTAGCACGCCAACATAATTAAATCTTTTTAACCAAGTCTAGAAAGTCAACTATGTGTGGTAAAATCAGAAACGTATTTCTACTTTTTTAGTTGTTTCAAATGCTAGAAAATGCATGTTTGTATCTATTTTGATGTCTGATTATTATGATTGTCTCAATTTTAAAATTATTAATATAAACAAATTTGAACCGCTGTCCATTGACTTGGCATCTACTATGAAAATGTAAAAAAAAATCAGTAAACAACAATACGTTTTATTGAAAATGAGTTTCGGTCGGAAATATGGCTTATGGAGTACATTGAGTGTATAATATCGGTATTTTAGCCAAATGAAAACATTCTGCGGATATAATTATCTAGGGACGAGAATACTCAAGAGGCACCGAGGGTCAATACACTGTACGGTATGAAACCCTTCAGATCTCGGACAGTGGGGGTGTAGAACAGTCGTCATGGCTATCTCAGGAAAAGTGAATGAGCCGAACTTCGGTGCATGTAAATATTATGCAATAGAACCAATATTTCCGTAAACAAATAAAATCATCACTAACAAGCTTTATTTGGCAATATGAATTCAACCTCCAAAATCCCGGTACCCGAGAACTCTCCGTAAATATTACATAATCTGTTTTTACTTTTGTTCTGGAAGAAGCCACCAGGACCCGCACTGATTGGAGGGGACAAACATGGTTGCTAGCGATGTCGTCGAGTATAATTCTGAAATGTCTGATCGTACAAAACATTCCATTTTCTCAGTGGTGTCCATAAATGATTTATGAATAAATGAAGATTAACAAAGAGATTATTTTATAACGTTATTTATTTAAAATTACGTCCTGAACATACTATAATTAACCATTTTGTAAACAATATACAATACATACCCAACGGAACAAGCACACATCACATTTCCCTATCACATCTGTTTAACTATGCTACATATGTACCAACCATTATATAAAAATTCTTTGTGACGTCTTTGTCTCGCGAAAGTCTAGCGCCATCGTGAAACAACCTAGAAACATTTCGATGACGTCAATTAACCTTCTGCAACAACGTAATGTTTTGAGCACCTTCAGAAGTGAATCCATATTTGTTAAACACAACAGAATGCTATACTTCTTTAAGTCATACAAATAATTTCGTTTGAATTTTATGCACCATTATTTTTTTTTCTATTAAAACTTGAGATTTCTGACGTCATCACTTCGTCATTCAATGTCGATAGACATGATCTGATGTTTTCGGTAACAAACTTATCTAAGTAAAATAAAGTAACAAAAATGTAAAGACTGCTTTATATATTATTTTTTTCACTGAGTTAATTATTGATTGTTTCACATCCCGGATAAGTAATGTATGTACATATATCATAAACAATTACATAGCACTGACACAGCTTAATCATAAAACATATTGATATCAAACATCACAGGTGCTGTTTACTGTAGGTAATCACCCATCTCTCCCAGAGTGCATTGCGGTACCATACTGACTGTAAGGAACAATAACTCTGGTACAGAATTGACAATCAGAAAAGAAAACAAACATTTATCTTTCTTCAACTTTTAACGATTAACTATTTATAAAATAAACGTATCACACATGGGTATGTAATACTAAACGACTTTTGTCGAAATCATACTAAAACAAAATGCCTCGTTCTCAATATAATCTAGCGTCACTACTAGCGCCCCCGAGCGGATACAATAAAACAAGGAACATAACTAGTATTTAACAATTTTGAATTCACGATTTTCAACAACAATATACTGTTACTCTAAGGTACGAAGTATATTTAATATACAATAATATCACAACGGTCACATTTTAAAATTGACACAAGTTACCCTACCAATAAATCCACTGCCCCGTCCGTGTATTCTGTCGTAACACAGATCTACCACTGTAGTCGTTTCTGTAATATTACATAAGAATTGAACATATTTTACATATGGAAATGCGTCTGTGTATTTCGGATCTGATAAATATACAATTTTTGTTGGCATTATCGTTTCGGAACGTTCGATCCTTGAAATGTTTAAATGATTGTAGTAATATAGACACCGCGGACTTGGTTCATAATGTAGTGACTTTATCTATCATGTCTTTATGGACTAAAACTAATAGATTAGCCTCCTGACTAAAGTTAATAGATTAGCCTCCTGACTAAACGCATTTCTTCCAGACTTTCAGAACTGATTCATCTAATGCTTTAAGGGAGACTACTGGAGGTATATAAGGGAACTCCTCTGTTCTGGTATTTCCGGTCCTTCATTGCACCTGAAACATTGCTATCTAATTCACTACTGCTTGAAATTATAATGGCGCGATCCAGTAGGCACTGATAAAGGTGTCGTTGTTTTCTAATGATAAATAAAATATAAGAAGGTCCTGACTTCAATTTCAACTAAATCTTTTTAAAAAATCTCCATCGATATTCCACAAATATTATAAAGATATTTTCATTCAGATGAAATCATTTCCCGGGAGAAGGATTCATTTTGATGATTCCGGTATGAAGATTGTTGATAATCAATCTGGGTATATTTCCATAAGATGGGACAAAATCAGAAAATAATAGCGAGCAAACACTATATTATACATGTATATACATAATAAGAGATCCACCATGTCGTAACATAATCTTTACAAAGCAGACCTTCCCTTCTGCGGGCAGTCCGACACAAGCACTTAATATATCTGAGATCATTCTTGTAAAAACTTTTTAACACGCTCAACTCACATACACAATATCCGTTCTTGTAAAACTAAAACGTAAGTACAGTATCTGTTTATAACTGACCATATCTGATCATCCAATTAAGTTTCACCATACATGTTATAACCCATTCAATGGTAAAAGTTTTTTTAGATATCCGTTATTTAAAAAAAAAACAAAAAAGGAAACAACATGATACTACTTTAACTATATCAATGGGATGGGAAAATGCACACATGCAAAGTTGTCGAAGCACTCAATCTCTCATTGAACTTAATTTCGTCATTAGTGCAAATCCGAAATCTTAAAACGACACACACACATTATCATGCATATTGTTACATCACCCAATAGACGCCTTCGTAACATTATCCAATAACAGCGTTGTTAACAATAACAATTATCTTATGTGCGCTATACCAGCCAATAAAAACATTCGTAACATCGTCCAATAGAAATATTTGTTATATTATCATTTAAAAACATCGCTCTTTGACTTATCTGCTCGATGTATATTCATCGTGATAACGATAACATTCATGCAGTATGGAGAACATGCTATTTGAACTAAGTTTAACGCATGATCTTAAACGCAGTTTTTAGTATCAGGTCTGGACATCCCTTCTCACGTACGGATTTCCCCCCAAAGTTTTGTGTTGAAGGAGACGATTTTAATCTTCCACATGATATGTTTCTGAATCGGATCTCTGGCATAAATGTCCGACAGATTGGTCTTGTCCAATCGTTTTTTTTTCGCCTAATCAAAGAGGCGGTTCAAGGGGGCTATCGACTGGAATCGAAATTCTGTTTACCACTATCCGTGACATTCGGATGACCGTTGAATACTCGGAAGTCTTCGGGCACTGCCCCAATCCTCATAGTAAAATTATCGACGACGTCAGAAAAACCGTCATTGACGTCATCAAAATCGTAAACACTTTCGGAAACGTTGACACAATCAGAGGTTGTGGCAGGGGCTGGAATGTTAATGTTACACCCACGTGACGTTACAATAGCATTTCTGGAACTGACTTCTTCAAAATTGCACTTTGTTATACCGACTTGTTGAAATCGAGTTGTCTCTCGCGCATGCCCACTTGTAGAAGGAACATCGATTCGAGAGTCGAATCCTTTTTGTAACTTGTAATGTTTGAATTTATGGGGGAAGTTTGACTGGGCTAGGGCACTTTTTACAGCTGCTTTTTTATTTGAACAGATATCAAACACTTCCTTTAAATCTCGCGAGAGGATGGCTTTTCCAGAGGTCCCAGGTAAACGCGATACGCGCTCCGGATGGATTTGGCCGTAAGATGTCGACGCTAGCTTCGTTTTAGAAACGTTTGAAACCATAGGTTTCAGACTATTATCAGTCAGAACATCGTCCAACCTTAACTGCAGAAAATCTGTGACGTCATTCAACAACACGTGATTCCCAGTCCTGCAAAAGAAGCAAATTAATACAGAACTATGTCAAAGAATTTATTTTTATCTAAATGATAAAATCATAACAAACATGATCGCAGGCACTATGTAGTTTATCAATATCAAAAGGGTTAACATCAGTCAAAAGGGTTATCGTTACTCTGTAGGGTTATCGTAACTCTGTAGGGTTATCGTAACTCTGTAGGGTTATCGTAACTCTGTAGGTCTATCGTTACCCTATAGGTTTATCGTAACTCTGTTGGGTTATAGTAACTCTGTAGGTTTATCGTAACTCTGTAGGTTTATCGTTACTCTGTAGTGTTATCGTAACTCTGTAGGTGTATCGTTACTCTGTAGGGTTATCGTAACTCTGTAGGTGTATCGTTACTCTGTAGGGTTATCGTAACTCTGTAGGTGTATCGTTACTCTGTAGGGTTATCGTAACTCTGTAGGTGTATCGTTACTCTGTAGGGTTATCGTAACTCTGTAGGTGTATCGTTACTCTGTAGGGCTATCGTTATTCTGTAGGTTTATCGTAACTCTGAAGGTTTTATCGTTACGATGTAGGGTTATCGTAACTCCGTAGGGCTATCGTTACTCTGTAGGTTTATCGTAACTCTGTAGATTTATCGTTACTCTGTAGGGTTATCGTAACTTTGTAGATTTATCGTTACTCTGTAGGGTTATCGTAACTCTGTAGGGTTATCGTAACTGTACTTAGTTATCATCACAATATAGAGTTACAAAATCTCTGAAGGGTTATCAAAATCTTAAAGGGTTATCTCAGCTCTACAGGGCTGTCATTACTATACAATATTTTCTTGATATAACGGGTAACCCTGTCCATGATATTATGTGTTACCCTGTCCTTGATATTACTGGTAACCCTATCCTTGATATTACTGGTAACCCTATCCTTGATATTACGGGTAACCCTATTCTTGATATCATGTGTTACCCTGTCCTTGATATTACGGGTAACCCTGTCCTGGATATAACGGGTAACCCTGTCCTTGATATTACTATTTTTACCACATGATGCGTTTATGTGTTACCACGTACTATCTCTGTTACCACGTACTATCTCTGTTACCACGTACTATCTGTGTTACCACGAACTATCTCTGTTTTACCATGTACATTTGTTATCACATACCGTCTCTTTTACCACGTATTACCTTTATAAGGTACATGGTACCACGCGCTGTCTGCATGTATTACCATTTTGTGTTGTCGTTGAAGTCAAGTACCACACTGAGGTAATAACGTACATATATCAAACAAAGAATGTCTGTTACCACGTACTATCTATGTGTTACCACGTACTATCTCTGTTACCATGTACTATCTCTGTTACCACGTACTATCTCTGTGTTACCACGTACTATCTCTGTGTTACCACGTACTATCTCTGTTACCACGTACTATCTCTGTTACCACGTACTATCTCTGTTACCACGTACTATCTCTGTGTTACCACGTACTATCTCTGTGTTACCACGTACTATCTCTGTGTTACCACGTACTATCTCTGTTACCACGTACTATCTCTGTGTTACCACGTACTATCTCTGTGTTACCACGTACTATCTCTGTTACCACGTACTATCTCTGTTACCACGTACTATCTCTGTTACCACGTACTATCTCTGTGTTACCACGTACTATCTCTGTGTTACCACGTACTATCTATGTGTTACCACGTACTATCTCTGTTACCACGTTCTATCTCTGTGTTACCACGTACTATCTCTGTGTTACCACGTACTATCTCTGTTACCACGTACTATCTCTGTGTTACCACGTACTATCTCTGTGTTACCACGTACTATCTCTGTTACCACGTACTATCTCTGTGTTACCACGTACTATCTCTGTGTTACCACGTACTTACCACGTATCTCTCTGTTACCACGTACTATCTCTGTGTTACCACGTACTATCTCTGTGTTACCACGTACTATCTCTGTTACCACGTACTATCTCTGTTACCACGTACTATCTCTGTGTTACCACGTACTATCTCTGTTACCACGTACTATCTCTGTGTTACCACGTACTATCTCTGTTACCACGTACTATCTCTGTGTTACCACGTACTATCTCTGTTACCACGTACTATGTGTTTCCATCTATCTGTGTTACCACGTACTATCTCTGTTTACCACGTACTATCTCTCTGTGTTACCACGTACTATCTCTGTTACCACGTACTATCTCTGTGTTACCACGTACTATCTCTCTATCTCTGTGTTACCACGTACCACGTATCTCTGTGTTACCACGTACTATCTCTGTTTACCACGTACTATCTTATCTCTCTGTTATCTCTGTTACCACGTACTATCTCTGTTACCACGTACTATCTCTCTGTTACCACGTACTATCTCTGTTACCACGTACTATCTCTGTTACCACGTACTATCTCTGTGTTACCACGTACTATCTATGTGTTACCACGTACTATCTCTGTGTTACCACGTACTATCTATGTGTTACCACGTACTATCTCTGTGTTACCACGTACTATCTCTGTGTTACCACGTACTATCTCTGTTACCACGTACTATCTCTGTGTTACCACGTACTATCTCTGTGTTACCACGTACTATCTCTGTTACCACGAACTATCTCTGTTTTACCATGTACATTTGTTATCACATACCGTCTCTTTTACCACGTATTACCTTTATAAGGTACATGGTACCACGCGCTGTCTGCATGTATTACCATTTTGTGTTGTCGTTGAAGTCAAGTACCACACTGAGGTAATAACGTACATATATCAAAAAAAGAATGTCGTTCAACTGCTTTAAATGAGAGCGTTTTTATGGTAGAACCCCTGTATCCATACCTCGTATCTATCGGGCATTCACCCTATAAACGGACAGCGAATCCGGTATCGACCGACTTCTAAGTGATCCACAAACTAAACATCGATCCGCCATTTCACGCTGGCTCCTGATTATTCATTACTGACAATGCGAGCTCCGCACGGACTACATCTTGTAACGGACATGATGTGACATTCGCAAATCTATCAGTACCTGATAATTCCCTGCAGCTGTTAAATATATATCCCTTCCAATGTAAATGTTGAGTCATGGGGTGCTTCCTACAATACGTTATACTATCTATTTATATAACGTACGGTCAAATGACAGTACACTCGGACCAGCATAAACAGGGTTACTTTTGGACAAGATCCCCACAGATACCCTCGGAGGGGATCGCCAGTGGAACTATGGTTACCCTCGTGTGGTATCACCAGTAGTACCAGATTGCCCTCGTGCGGTATCACCAATAGAAAAAGGGTTAGCCTCATGCGGGACCACCAACAGAACTAGGGTTAGCCTCGTGCAGGATCAGCAACAGAACTAGGGTTAGCCTCGTGCGGGATCACCAACAGAACTAGGATTAGCCTCGTGCAGGATCACCAACAGAACTAGGGTTAGCCTCGTGCGGGATCACCAACAGAACTAGGGTTAGCCTCGTGCGGGATCACCAACAGAACTAGGATTAGCCTCGTGCAGGATCACCAACAGAACTAGGGTTAGCCTCGTGCAGGATCACTAACAGAACTAGGGTTAGCCTCGTGCAGGATCACCAACAGAACTAGGGTTAGCCTCGTGCAGGATCACCAACAGAACTAGGGTTAGCCTCGTGCGGGATCAGCAACAGAACTAGGGTTAGCCTCGTGCGGGATCACCAACAGAACTAGGATTAGCCTCGTGCAGGTTCACCAACAGAACTAGGATTAGTCTCGTGCAGGATCAGCAACAGAACTAGGGTTAGCCTCGTGCTGGATCACCAATAGTAACAGGGTTAGCAACGTGCGGGATCACCAATACTAAAAGGATAGCCTCGTGCGGGATCATCAATAGTAACAGGGTTAGCAACGTGCGGGATCACCAATAGTAAAAGGGTTAGCCTCGTGCAGGATCACCAATAGTAACAGGGTTAGCAACGTGCGGGATCACCAATAGTAAAAGGGTTAGCCTCGTGCGGGATCACCAATATTAAAAGGGTTAGCCTCGTGCGGGATCACCAATAGTAAAAGGGTTAGCCTCGTGCGGGATCACCAATAGTAACAGGGTTAGCAAAGTGCGGGATCACCAATAGTAAAAGGGATAGCCTCGGGCGGGATCACCAATACTAAAAGGATAGTCTCGTGCGGGATCACCAACAGAACCACAAGTACATATGGCCATTAGGATATTGATTTCTACTACATCCAATATATTTCGAACGCTTCTTTAATTTTTGTCATTTCGCCATTGCTTCGTGTCGTTAGTTATCCGTATCTAATTAGAGTTAAACTCGTTATATCTAATTGGGTCACGTGTACTCTGTCTTTTTTCCTCCGAGATAAATTAATTCGGTCGTACTGTTGTAATTTTAACATCCAATAATTCAACGTTAATTTACCAAACGTATCGTTCGCTCAAATAGCGATCCCTCGGCCAATGACTTCACATCCCTTCTACCATCACCATGGTAACAGCTGTGTGTTTATACAAATTCATATAAACTGGCTAAGTTCGGCCTCGCGTGTATATTGTTTTTTTTTTCTATACGTATTTTCTGTTATTACTGATTCTATTATAAATTCAACGCTATCACAGAACTGCTTGACGGCTGAAAACACTGTGGTGGAAGTTTTGGAGAATTGCATAAGATTTCTTACTGGCGGAACTCATGAAGTTTATTTATTAAACATTACTGATCGAACTCGTTGGGAAATAGCGCAACAGATAACCTAGACGGAAGTATAAGTACATTTGTAGTTAAAGACGGTCATGGAGGAGGATAGCAGATTATTTATTACAGAAAGAAACCATGAAAGAAAAGAAGAAATTAGCATAATTTTTCAGCTACATGTAAAATAACTTTAATATTTCTTCTTGGATTTCCGCCTATGACTCGAAATTGTATATTATATCGTCAGTTGTTGCTACAGTAATGTAACACTGGTCACTGCTACAGTAAACGCGCTTGATTTTTGCGATAAATGTCTCTAACTTAATGTATTGCATTAAACTGCTATAATTTGTACCTTTACCAACGGAAGCGACATTCTATCAACTGATCCAGCACGTTACAGTAGTAAATTGTATCACTACACTGTACTATATAGCAGGAAATAGAATAAAATCAAACATATTTTCCTCGTCATTTTTAACACTTACAGTTACAGAGCGCCGAAGCGCTGGAATGTAATAATGTACAATCAATACAAAATATGTATTATCTTTCAACATCTCTCGCGATCGATGGTTGAAATACACCGTGTCGACTTCGGCACGTGCTGCCGCTTCATTTGTAAGTATAGCCATTTTGCTCGTAAAACATTTCAGAGACAAGACGACAGTCTTCAGCAGATTGTGACGATGTAAACATTAACGCCGGAAGTATCGTGTTAAACATAAAATCAATATCGTTCCCGTGCATTGTCTCCGGATGGAATCGATGCCAAGCAAGTTGAAAGCGGATTACTACCGTATTCTTCAGGGGTGACCTAGTACGGAAACATCTCGCAGAAATTAAACGCTTCGTCTTGATACATAATCTGTTTAAGCGTTTGAAGACGACTTGTGTCTGGTCACGTCCCTGATAAAGTTACCCAAAAACGCGCACATTATCACATTTCGTATATTATACCGCACGCGACAGGAATCCATCCAACACAGTGTGAGACTTGGTAATCACAAAAAGTAATTCATTTGTACAAATATTTCACTCACACGTGACCCAAGCTTTCGCCAAACATGCAGCTAACATTCGAGCTCAATGACGTCGAGTTCTAGAGCATTTGACAGCTTTGACCCGCGGTGTGTCGGTAGGCATGGGTTCGATTCCTTTCGATCATATCATCTAAAGAAGTTTATGGTTACATTTTATAAAAATAGTGTTCTTAATTACTAAAGGAACATCTTTTGCAGATCGAGACGTGTATACAGCAAAACAAAACAAAGATTTGAGGACAGCGTTGTATAGCGTCTACAGAGTGTAGAGTTTACTATGTAAAGTTAGGTTCTTAATTTGTGTATTTCTTGAATCTGGAGTTTTTCTCCAAATTAATATCGATTTCGTACATGTACGAACACCGGATATATTTATTGGAAGCAAATGTATCTCAAATTGCCTGTTACTCGTTGAAGCAAAAATGGTAACATTCGGTAAAGGGAGACAGTTGTGTTATCCGTTCTGACCACAACAAGATGTTAATGTTCATTCCCGTTTCTTACAAACGACTGTGAGATGTGCATCTTGGTTTAAGGGTACCTATATTCCGTGTACAAGTAATAAACAACCAAGGTTCAGACTGGTCGGTCAATCCACATTACCAATTCTGTGGATCATGGTTTCTTCGATTATCATTTTGACATGTGATGCCAGACAGCAATCACATTCGGACCACTCGGAAATCTAAGCGAACGCTCGACTATTTGTATCTCATCCTCGGCGCCTGTTCACAGATATCGATTCAAAAACATATTTATATTCCAAGAATGCAATAGAAAACGGTTTTGCTGTACAGTTGTTGACAACGTTGGTTTCAAAAGAATAACAGAAGAAGAGCGCTAATACTGATACTGTTATTAAAATATAGTTTAGCCTAAGATGTTTACTGGCTGGCCATAGTAAATACCTGTGTGCTGTACCAGGTGTATTCAGAGACAATGATTCGATGACGTCATCGTAACGGATTACGGCAATTAAGTGTATCCAAATATGGAATCCAGTATATATACAGATATATTTATGTATATCAATATCTTAAGTTATGGCCACAATAAGCATCTGTTTTTATCGACTTGCACGTACAAAAGTACCCGACGTTCAACGATATTCGCGGGGCGGATTTACAGAGAGAAAGTCAAGATATGCAACCTTTTCTTATTACATATATATATCTATACGTATTGTTATCAGACTCAAAGCTGGTACAACTATAAGGGCATCGTCTTATATACAAATAATGTATGTGTGAACATTTCAAAGTCTACTCAAATATTCAAAATGTTTAGTACACTTAAATTTTAATAAAATGTCTATTGAGATTCAATATTTTTGTCATCCAAGTACACTTCACCACTTACGTGTTTTTGTTTTCTGTTTTGGCGAGTTTAAAACACGTGAATTCGGGGTCACGTGAGTCGACGATATAATCCCCTTCGTCTTCCTCCGTAGGATCAGCAGGAATGTCAGCGTAGATGTCTATTACAGGGAATGTCTTATCATCTCCTGTAACCAGAAATAAAACATGCTTGTGTATACATAAATGTAGATGTCTATTACAGGGAATGTCTTGGGAAGTAGGGGCCACGGTATGGACATGAGAGGGTTGGGGCCACGGTATGGACAGAGGGAACGGGGGCCACGGCATGGACACGAGGGAATGGGAGTTAGGGTATGGACACGTGAGAATAGGGGCCACGGTATGGACACGAGAAGGTGGGGGCCACGGTATGGACAGGAGGGAATGGGGGCCACGGTATGGACAGGAGGGAATGGGGTCCACGGTATGGACACGAGAGAACGGGGTTTACGGTATGGACACGAGAGGGTGGGGGCCACGGTATGGACACGAGGTAATGGGGGCCACGGTATGGACACGAGGGAACGGGATTCACGGTATGGACACGAGAGGGTGGGGGCCACGGTATGGACATGAGGGAATGGGGGCCACGGTACGGACACAAGGGAATGGGGGCCACGGTATGGACACGAGGGAACGGGGTTCACGGTATGGACACGAGAGGGTGGGGGCCACGGTATGGACACGAGGGAATGGGGGCCACGGTACGGACACAAGGGAATGGGGGCCACGGTATGGACACGAGATGATGGGGGCCACGTTATGGACACGAGGGAATGGGGGCCACGGTACGGACACAAGGGAATGGGGGCCACGGTATGGACACGAGGAAACGGGGTTCACGGTATGGACACGAGAGGGCGGGGGCCACGGTATTGACAAGAGGGAATGGGAGTCACAGAATGGACATGATAGAACTCGGACATGGTATGAAAACGAGGGAGTTTGGGTCACGGTTTAGATATGTGGGAGTGCGAGGATGTGTGGGTACAGTAGGTTTATGTAAGTTGTGGAGGATAGTATATGTAGGAGGCATGATAAGGAAATTAACATCTGATACCTGTTTCAAGTTTATCACAGCTTTAAGACAAACAAACGTATTTACAGATTGTGGTTCACCTGTGTCTACTATAGGTCTGATAAGCACGCGCGGAGAAAATTAATATTACATTATTTATCGTTATATAATTATTTCTTGATTTATTTATTTATCTATCAATAAATCCATACGACCTTTTATTTTTCCTTATTATATCTTACGTATACTTCATAAATCATACAAGACCACAATCACAATATACAGTCAAACCTTATTATCTCGAAGTCGGTGGGGCATTGAATTATCGAAGTATTCGATTTGAGGGAGTTTAGAAATTTGACCGCAGCTGACGAATTAAACGAGTTTATTCAGTTCAAGATAGCAAGGTTCGACTGCATAGTTAGAAGTAAAGTTAAAAAAAACATTACACGAACCTGAATTATTACAACGGGAATACGGAATTTAAGTTTAAAGAGAGTCATAACTCCGGAAATTTCGTGAGAAACACGAAAGCATAGAGGGCAAACATAAAGTCTTCGTGACAAGATGATTTCCATTCTGTTTTTCAGTTTTTAACATTACATGTAATTTAAGAGGAAATTCTAAAAAGAACCACGGAACTTTTCGCACCCGATCAAGGACAGAATTTTCTGACTGATCCGGATTTGCAGACATTTACTAACGTCGTTTTTTTCGTTAGTTCTGTTAGACCTAGCTCTAAATGGACTATGGGGACTCTCAGTGAACAAATTTCTTAGCTTGCAGACCTGTAAGTGGAGCTTGAAAGTCACGAACCATGTTAAAAGAGAATCCTTTATAACTTTCTTTTCCATATGATGTCTATGGAACGAGACTTTTTTTCCATTTCACCCAGCCTGTGACGGGAGGAGGTTTGATCAGTTGTCACTGTTATGTACCAAAAAAGTACATAAAATATGTGCTTGCATATGTATAAAACTGAATATTGTAAATTTGTTTTCTTCAATACCTAACGAACTGTGACAAATACGTAGATTTTAGATTAGTAATCGAAGAGAGAGAAAAAACAAAAACAAAAAAAAAACAACAAAAATCAGACATTGATCGCCAACTGCCACTAGGGATTGCTGGAATTGTAAAAGGCACGCGGTGTAATGTATGACGGTCTACCGTATTTGCAACGAAGATAGCGCGGTTTTCACGCGGAGAACATTGACTGCACGCCAATCCTGTCAAAATGAATTAGTCATCGAATCTGTATAGAATAATGACTCCTGAGAGAGTCCTGACGTAACATAAAAGTGTTATGTGTTTATCGCATGTCTAGAAGCCATTGTATATCTGTCACATACTGTTTTATTCTCTTTTCTTCAATTCTGACCATTTATTGTTTATCATTTTTGCCGTTTATAGAAATCCTAGCCGTTTTCACGTTATTTTGAAACGGGAGGGGATTTAGACAACTCGGATTATGCTCTCGTTATTGTGATTTTCACTGTTTTCGAGCGAATGAAGGATGAAGTTTTTTGTATAGAAAACTATACGTGTTGTTTTGTAGATCTAACGGTGATATCGGATAATATGGCATTATTACCAAGACAAGACGACATGACATCCCATTTAATTACGAACAAGGTATACAATTACAGCTCGTTATCGACAAAGAATACTGACAACTCGGATGAACTATCGATTTCGACGACACCAGTCTCTTGTCGTGTCAGAAATACGGCTTCAAGCGACTCCATGAAATGTCTTTGCAATATCGTATCTTTTTTTATTACGTGACTTATGATACACCACGTGGTAGATCATATGACTGGTTGGCAGCATATATACAATTTTGCTATCACGTGACCAGTTATACAATATATGCGACAGTTAATTACACTGTACAAATTCATCATATATAATATCTCATAATTTTACTCATTCTTTTTAAATTCCATACCAAACATTCAAACTTGGTTAACTGGAATACTCGCATAGCTCAAAGTTTCACGACAGTCCCTCAGACTTCGAGATAGCGAGATTTGAGTATATATATTGTGATGATGAGATATACCGCAGTTCTTCATAACGTTTCTTTTTAGCTATCTTTATTTCAGAATTATTTGTAAAATCGTGGAAACTTGCTACCAAAAAACTGAGACTAAAACATATTAAAGAGAAATTCAAAGTCCGTACCGTGATTTCTGTGAAAAACACATTTTCAGTTTTACAATTTTGACGGAAAAACAAAAATGCCATCATCCAACAGTAGAATTTTTATATCACTAGTTTGTGTTGGAGAGAGTGTACATGGGTTTATATTACTAGTTTGTGTTGGAGAGAGTGTGTATGAGTTTATAGCACTAGTTTGTGTTGGAGAGAGTGTGTATGAGTTTATAGCACTAGTTTGTGTTGGAGGGTTTATAGCACTAGTTTGTGTTGGAGAGTGTGTGCGTGGGTTTATATAACTAGTTTGTGTTGGAGAGAGTGTACATGAGTTTATATCACTAATTTGTGTTGGAGAGTGTGTGTATGAGTTTATAGCACTAGTTTGTGTTGGAGAGAGTGTGTATGAGTTTATAGCACTAGTTTGTGTTGGAGAGAGTGTGCGTGGGTTTATAGCACTAGTTTGTGTTGGAGAGAGTGTACATGAGTTTATATCACTAATTTGTGTTGGAGAGAGTGTGTATGAGTTTATAGCACTAGTTTGTGTTGGAGAGAGTGTGCGTGGGTTTATAGCACTAATTTGTGTTGGAGAGAGTGTGTATGAGTTTATAGCACTAGTTTGTGTTGGAGAGAGTGTACATGGGTTTATATAACTAGTTTGTGTTGGAGAGAGTGTGCGTGGGTTTATAGCACTAGTTTGTGTTGGAGAGAGTGTACATGGGTTTATATAACTAGTTTGTGTTGGAGAGTGTGTGTATGAGTTTATAGCACTAGTTTGTGTTGGAGAGAGTGTGTATGAGTTTATAGCACTAGTTTGTGTTGGAGAGATTGTACATGAGTTTATATCACTAGTTTGTGTTGGAGAGAGTGTGTATGAGTTTATAGCACTAGTTTGTGTTGGAGAGAGTGTACATGAGTTTATATCACTAGTTTGTGTTGGAGAGAGTGTGTATGAGTTTATAGCACTAGTTTGTGTTGGAGAGAGTGTACATGAGTTTATATCACTAGTTTGTGTTGGAGAGTGTGTGTATGAGTTTATATCACTAGTTTGTGTTGGAGAGAGTGTGCGTGGGTTTATAGCACTAGTTTGTGTTGGAGAGTGTGTGCGTGGGTTTATATAACTAGTTTGTGTTGGAGAGTGTGTGCGTGGGTTTATATAACAAGTTTGTGTTGGAAAGAGTGTGCATGAGTTTATATAACAAGTTTGTGTTGGAGAGAGTGTACATGAGTTTATATAACAAGTTTGTGTTGGAGAGAGTGTACATGAGTTTATATCACTAGTTTGTGTTGGAGAGAGTGTGCATGAGTTTATATAACAAGTTTGTGTTGGAGAGAGTGTGCATGAGTTTATATAACATGTTTGTGTTGGAGAGAGTGTACATGAGTTTATATAACAAGTTTGTGATGGAGAGAGTGTGTATGAGTTTATAGCACTAGTTTGTGTTGGAGAGAGTGTGTATGAGTTTATAGCACTAGTTTGTGTTGGAAAGAGTGTGCATGAGTTTATATAACAAGTTTGTGTTGGAGAGAGTGTACATGAGTTTATATAACAAGTTTGTGTTGGAGAGAGTGTACATGAGTTTATATCACTAGTTTGTGTTGGAGAGAGTGTGCATGAGTTTATATAACAAGTTTGTGTTGGAGAGAGTGTGCATGAGTTTATATAACAAGTTTGTGTTGGAGAGAGTGTACATGAGTTTATATAACAAGTTTGTGTTGGAGAGAGTGTGTATGAGTTTATAGCACTAGTTTGTGTTGGAGAGAGTGTGTATGAGTTTATAGCACTAGTTTGTGTTGGAAAGAGTGTGCATGAGTTTATATCACTAGTTTGTGTTGGAGAGAGTGTGCGTGGGTTTATAGCACTAGTTTGTGTTGGAGAGTGTGTGCGTGGGTTTATATAACTAGTTTGTGTTGGAGAGAGTGTATATGAGTTTATATCACTAGTTTGTGTTGGAGAGAGTGTGCATGAGTTTATATAACAAGTTTTTGTTGGAGAGAGTGTGCATGAGTTTATATAACAAGTTTGTGTTGGAGAGAGTGTGTATGAGTTTATAGCACTAGTTTGTGTTGGAAAGAGTGTGCATGAGTTTATATAACAAGTTTGTGTTGGAGAGAGTGTGCATGAGTTTATAGCACTAGTTTGTGTTGGAGAGAGTGTACATGAGTTTATATAACAAGTTTGTGTTGGAGAGTGTGTGTATGGGTTTATATAACTAGTTTGTGTTGGAAAGAGTGAGAATGAGTTTATATAACAAGTTTGTGTTGGAGAGAGTGTACATGAGTTTATATAACAAGTTTGTGTTGGAGAGTGTGTGTATGGGTTTATATAACTAGTTTGTGTTGGAGAGAGTGTGCATGAGTTTATATAACAAGCTTGTGTTGGAGAGAGTGTGCATGGGTTTATATAACTAGTTTGTGTTGGAGAGAGTGTGCATGGGTTTATATAACTAGTTTGAGTTGGAGAGAGTGTGCATGGGTTTATACCACTAGTTTGTGTTGGAGAGAGTGTGCATGAGAGGTTGGGGCTTTTGTGACGCGTACCTCCAAAAGCTGGACACGTCCATATGGTTCGATCCGCGTCGCTTGAAAACCCATTTAAATCTCCAAGGTGACCTGTACGAGAAAAGCAACACAGTGTAATATTTGAAACACAAGATCGACGATAGACAAAGCATAATTCATAAAGGTATATATTTCTTTCGTTTGAGATCAAATTTCAACATAAGTTAAGACAATGGAGACGCTACCTTCAGTATCGAACTAAATCAAGCAGCCGTTTAATTCAGTATCAGGTCATGTCACGGAGACGCTTCATTCAGTATATTTCGAAATCCGGAAGACGCTTGATGTTTCGATTATCCTTGTTAGTTCGAGCCTTATTATTATTTCGGACAATCTTGGAAAGTTTAGTTCGCTTAGTTTCGGTCAACCAAACTCATGTTGTTTTCACGCGTGAGGAAGCGTCTGGGTCATCTAGATTATGTGTTGCTATGTCTGCCATGTTGCTACCCACTATTAGTATAAAGCATTATCGTGAGTTCCACTTCCGTGTCACAACTTTCGCTGGCTTGACCTTTAATCATTCTAAGATCAAACGTTTCCGTTGTTTTTACATAAATTCGAGGAGGCACTTTCTTTATGAAATTATCTTCATGTTTCTTACGACCTCTATCGTGGCTGTGCATACCAAAAACATTAAATTGTCGACTAAAATTCCACGCTAATATTCGAAAGGTCATCTAACGTTGGCGAAATAAACACAGCACTTGGCAGCTGAGAAAACATTGGAAATGAGTGTCGGGTAAAGGTTCTGTGGACTTTACGCCAAGATGCATACAGAAGATGATAAATGTCAGGACCAGCTAGTGTCACAGGGGGAAAGTTCTCTATAAGTGTTTGTAGTACTCAAAACAAGTTTAGCGTACATGCAGGTGAGCATCTTTAATGGATTTCTAACCATTTTGAAAACAAATTATGATAAGTTTGTTTTACATGTAGAGGTTATCATTCCAACATATAAGATGTTCTGGTTCTCGTCACAACAGACTGATATTGTAGATAATCCAGGAGATACATTTGTTGATCATGACCAGGTGCTTCCATTTTATTATTTTTTCTAAAGACTAACATACAAAAAAAACCAACATCACATCCGGATTGGCGGATATTGTAATTTTAGAAACAAATGTACCAAATATCCGGACTTTAACCTATTTAACCTACTTGGTCATCGCAAGTAATCATATCCACCGATACTTCTCCTCACAAGAGGTTTGACCATCGTTTCGTAAGTCATGTGATATCCACCAATGAAATCTCATTATTTCTCGTCAGAAGGGATTTACATTTCCTTTCTCAAGTCACGATATTCATCAGTGAAATCCCATTTTCCCTCGTGTCTGAAGACTTTTTCAATATGTCTGGTGTTGTCAGTTCTAGCTATGAATGTCCATACTCCTCTTAAACTTCCGCTCAAATTTTACTTGTGCTTTGATTCTGCTTGAAATGCATTTCTATGTAACACGTTACTTTTGACTTTTCCGTCGCTTTTTAACATAACATTTGACCTTGAAATGATGGTTAGCCTTATATTCAATACTTTTAACAATTATGAGTTTCCTTTTAAAACAGAACAACCTAACGAGAATATTCCGAGTGATATTGACCATGTTTGTGTATATATTACCTTCTAAGAGGTGTTTCATCCTTTCTGTTCGGGCTATCGTTAACGGAGTTTTACCGCCATAGGTCGACAACGTCGGGTCGGCACCGAAAGCAAGCAACATGCGTACAAGTTCGACATTGTCATTTTCAACAGCATCATGGATTGGCCTGAAATTTAAAAAAAGGTCATTTTTCATTTAAAAATTGAAAATACTTATTGATTTATTTACTTTATTATTCACGTTATTTCATTTTATTTCTATTAGTGAAAATTCGGAAACTATTTAGCTAGTAATTATCTAAAGTATTTCATTCAAATCGGACGTTAAGACAAGTCATGCCTCGTTTTGGTTTCGTAAGAACGCCGGAAGAAAGATATGAATGCATGCCGGTATATGTACCAATGACATCGTCCAATCAGCATGAAACTAAAGTGTGATGAAATACATATAACAGGTTTCTTTATCAACGTCAACATACTCTTAAGAGATAGTAAACAGACTACTGTTGGGTTTCTGATTGAGGTAAACATTTCACATTGCATGATATATGGTTGTAATTTTTACGCAATCTAATGTACGTTAGATTTATTGAGAGTCGCGAAAGTAATGAGACAATCTGTTGTGTAATCGCCATATTGTGTGTGACGTTTGAGTTCGACCAACAGATTGACGTGTCGCTAGTTTTAATCAAGGGTGAACGACAGAGCGACAAATCACATGCTTGGAAATGTCACCGACGAACGGTTTTCATAATTAATCGTTTTGTTTAGCTTGGTATAGACTCTTTTTTTGAGAATGGAATTTTAAATGATAGGAAACATCAACACTGTTACACCAACAACATGGAGAGCTCCGCCGAATTGCATAATATTGAAATTAATCAACGTCATCCTGACGAATACAGCAGTAGATTTTTTCATTGTTTGACTTTAATGTATAGTATTCTAAATGAGTATTGAAAATGAAATGGGCTTGATCATCTGTTCTTTAGAATTAGCCCACGTGTCTACCAGGCCAGTCTCCGCAATGTCCTCCGGTCCCTAAAATCACGGTGTACAAAAAAATATCGCTAACGTTAAAACAGGGTCATGTTTTGATGCTTAAAACAAATCGACAAATCGAGATAAGGAATCTGAAATCTGAATATTTCATGAAAACATTTGTAATTGTATATACAAGACTGATCTTTTAAACATCAACCGCAAGTTACGGAATCGTACGACGTATAAACAACCCGTGCGGGACTCACCGTGTAATTGGTTTGACTAACTTACAATAGACACGTAAATAAAAAAAAATCCATCGACTTTTGCAGACTCATTTATCTAGCAAAAAGGAGATTGCTGCTGAACGGAGCTGCATACATAGGAATCGCACTTATCGTTTGTCTGTGCTAGTAACACTTCATGTCACGTCATTCCGAAGACGTCGGCAAACAGGAAGTGTGTCTGGCCAGGAAGTGATGGATTACGGGATCTGTCGACCACAGCAATACTTTTAATATGCATGCCTCGTGCATTGGTGCCAAGAAATGCACGTTTACAGACGACATTCCTCTAAAATGTTTATGTAGATGTACGGTTAATGGTGCGCCATGCATAAATTCAGAAATGAGCAATTTCGTGACACGAATCAGTATAACAATGACATCAATATTCTCTCTTGTGACGTTGACCTTGATTTTGACTACGGAAAGTCATTACTCAAATTTGTACAAGAGGTGAATTTCTGGATAATCAGGTAGGAAAATGAAGAAATGGTTAACTTGACCTAGTTTTGAAACAGTGAGTTTTTAAACTTTTGTACGATATTTTTTATGAGAAACTAAATTGTGCTGCATGATGACCCCAAAAATATACTTTTGTAGCAGTGACCTATTTTGGCAACATATGACAAGGTTTTAGAACACATTCAATACGAGAGGTTTACAGACGACATAAGTAGAAAGTACATCTGTACCTACATGTATGTATCGCCGACAATCTGTCGAAGGAGTATGATAATGCTGGCGACTCAATTCCACTAAATGTGTATATATTGTACCAGCATGTTCTATTTGTGTAACAATGCGTCTCAATATATATAAAGAGGTGCATATCTTCGTCTCGCGACAACCGCGCCTCGGATTCGGTACACCGACCCTGTTACATGTAATAATTACCATATATAATATCCAATTAATCTTCACACCAGCAGAGTACCTAATACTTGACAGATAAGTGTCTTAAACTCAGCCTTCTGTGCAGAAGTGTCATTAACATGTACAAAGTGAAATACAGCTAGCCTCCATATAAACAGTGTTATGTAAGTCAAGACACATAAACAATGGTACTTAAGACACGAGTCTGAACATAAACAATGGTACTTATGACACGAGTCTGAACATAAACAATGGTACTTATGACACGAGTCTGAACATAAAGTAGTACTTATGACACGAGTGTGAACATAAACAGTGGTAATGACAGTGGTAGTACTTATGACACATAAACAATGGTAGTCTGAACATAAAGTAGTACTTATGACATGAGTCTGAACATAAACAATGGTACTTATGACACGAGTCTGAACATAAAGTAGTACTTATGACACGAGTGTGAACATAAACAGTGGTACTTATGACACGAGTCTGAACATAAAGTAGTACTTATGACACGAGTCTGAACATAAACAATGGTACTTATGACACGAGTCTGAACATAAAGTAGTACTTATGACACGAGTCTGAACATAAACAATGGTACTTATGACACGAGTCTGAACATAAAGTAGTACTTATGACACGAGTCTGAACATAAACAATGGTACTTATGACACGAGTCTGAACATAAAGTAGTACTTATGACACGAGTCTGAACATAAACAATGGTACTTATGACACGAGTCTGAACATAAAGTAGTACTTATGACACGAGTGTGAACATAAACAATGGTACTTATGACACGAGTGTGAACATAACACGAGTGTGAACATAAACAGTGGTACTTAACAATGGTACTTATGACACGAGTGTGAACATAAACGATGGTACTTATGACACGAGTCTGAACATAAAGTAGTACTTATGACACGAGTGTGAACATAAACAGTGGTACTTATGACACGAGTCTGAACATAAAGTAGTACTTATGACACGAGTCTGAACATAAACAATGGTACTTATGACACGAGTCTGAACATAAAGTAGTACTTATGACACGAGTCTGAACATAAACAATGGTACTTATGACACGAGTCTGAACATAAACAGTGGTACTTATGACACGAGTCTGAACATAAAGTAGTACTTATGACACGAGTGTGAACATAAACAGTGGTATTTACGACACGAGTCTGAACATAAACAGTAACAATTATTATGCGACAAGACCCTGGACATAGAGTGTTATATATGTCACAACACGAACCTCAACACAACACGGACTTGTTATGTCACAACAAAAGCCTCAACACAACACAGACTTGTTATGTCACAACACAAACCTCAACACACACAGACTTGTTATGTCACAACATGAACCTCAACACAACACAGACTTGTTATGTCACAACACGAACCTCAACACAACACAGACTTGTTATATCACAACACGAACCTCAACACACACAGACTTGTTATGTCACAACACGAACCTCAACACAACACAGACTTGTTATGTCACAACATGAACCTCAACACACACAGACTTGTTATGTCACAACATGAACCTCAACACAACACAGACTTGTTATGTCACAAAACGAACCTCAACACAACACAGACTTGTTATATCACAACACGAACCTCAACACACACAGACTTGTTATGTCACAACACGAACCTCAACACAACACAGACTTGTTATGTCACAACATGAACCTCAACACACACAGACTTGTTATGTCACAACATGAACCTCAACACCACACAGACTTGTTATGTCACAACACGAGCCTCAACACACACAGTCTTTTTATGTCACAACACGAACCTCATCACACACAGACTTGTTATGTCACAACACGAACCTCAACACAACACAGACTTGTTATATCACAACACGAACCTCAACACACACAGACTTGTTATGTCACAACACGAACCTCAACACAACACAGACTTGTTATGTCACAACATGAACCTCAACACACACAGACTTGTTATGTCACAACATGAACCTCAACACCACACAGACTTGTTATGTCACAACACGAGCCTCAACACACACAGTCTTTTTATGTCACAACACGAACCTCATCACACACAGACTTGTTATGTCACAACACGAACCTCAACACAACACAGTCTTTTTATGTCACAACACGAATCTCAACACACACAGACTTGTTATGTCACAACACGAGCCTCAACACACCGACTTGTTATGTCACAACACGAACCACAACACAGTCTTTTTATGTCACAACACGAGCCTCAACACAACTCAGTCTTTTTATGTCACAACACGAACCTCAACACAACTCAGTCTTTTTATGTCACAACACGAGCCTCAACACACACAGACTTGTTATGTCACAACACAAGCCTCAACACACACAGACTTGTTATGTCACAACACAAGCCTCCACACCACACAGACTTGTTATGTCACAACACGAACCTCAACACAACACAGTCTTTTTATGTCACAACACGAGCCTCAACACACAGACTTGTTATGTCACAACACAAGCCTCCACACCACACAGACTTGTTATGTCACAACACGAACCTCAACACAACTCAGTCTTTTTATGTCACAACACGAACCTCAACACAACTCAGTCTTTTTATTTCACAACACGAGCCTCAACACACACAGACTTGTTATGTCACAACACAAGCCTCAACACACACCGACTTGTTATGTCACAACACAAGCCTCCACACCACACAGACTTGTTATGTCACAACACAAGCCTCAACACAACTCAGTCTTTTTATGTAACAACACAAGCCTCCACACCACACAGACTTGTTATGTCACAACACAAGCCTCAACACCACGCAAGCGACTTCATCTTTTATTTCAACTGTGCCTTTTAACGTTACGACTGACCATAAACAATGTAAACAGGTGTAGACGTTGATGGTGTGATAATATGAACTAAATCTGCTAATTGGTATATGATGTATCTTTTACACAAGCAACTAAAATAGGAGATCATCTGTATTTCAAACTTCA